CAAAGCATAATGTCCGTGAAGCGTAATATCCGTAAAGCGTAATATCCGTAAAGCGTAATATTCGTAAAGCGTAATGTCCGCAAAGCATAATGTCCGTGAAGCGTAATGTCCGTAAAACGTATTGTCCGCAAAGCATAATGGCCGTAAAGCATAATATCTGTAAAGGATAAAATCCATAAAGCGTAATGTCCCCAAAGCGTAAAATCTGTGAAATGTAATATCCGTGAAGCGTAATGTTTGTAAAGCATAATGTTCATAAAATGTAATGTCCCCAAAGTGTAAAATCCATGAAGCTAAGTATGCAGCAATGGTAATAGATATGTAGCAGATGAGCCATCAGCGTTAGCGATTTGCCTCTCTGCTAGCTCCAGGGAAGGCCTCAGTCTCAGCCTCACGACAAAGGTATTACAGCTTAGAAGACAAAGCAGAGTAACTCAACCTTGGTTTTCTGGTTAAAAGCGCTTGCCAACCTCTGTTAGCTTTGGTTAGCTTGTTGCTACATAGACTCAAAGTTTGTTGGATGTAAATCATCTGCCCCCACCCTCAGCCCCGCTGTCAGCTCCATTTTTCTAATTTCTAAAAATCACACCTTTTTTTTCAATTCTCCACGGATTTCTTGATTCCCTCTTCGCTGTCAATTTGCGTCTCAAACACTCCCATTGAGGAAAAACGCGGCACTGAGTTTGCAAGGGAAGCGCGGTCAATGTTCCACACAACATAAACATCTGGTGAAAAGCCCAGGTAACGTAACGCTGAGCCTGGCCACCCAAAGAGGAAGTTTGTTTCATCTGGTTTGAAAAGATCTCTTAAGAAATTTGTTAATATGAGAACGTAATCTTGAAAACTTCACACTTCCTGATTCTTATGTCATATTGCCCAGCCCTCGGTATGAGATAATCACTCTAGTTTGCTGTGGTAAAGAAGGGTCTGAGTCAAAAGGCAAACATCTTGATTTAGTGATCGGTCGAGGTGCCAGTTAGTCATCTTTGGTTACAGATTTTGATCATCACCAATAGAACAAGTTTTAAGTACATTAGTGTACATGCAATGATCCAGAGTTGCTTTTCCCAAATGAATGAATGTTGTCGGCATCAAAAAGGACATTCTCTATTATTCTCAGAACCTAAAAATGAACCATGAACCTAAAACAAGATAACGACTCGACGTGATCCCAGAAAACCCATTGAGGAATGAATGGTGGAGATTAAATAATGCCTTCCTGGACTGGCCCGGCTCTGTATTGATTACCATTAAAATACAAAGGGTGGATCTGGTGCTGCCGCTCAGGCCGGATATCCCCAACAATGAGTGTGAATATTCCCCAAAATACAATACTGGGAATGACACATAAATTGATGTGACTGCTGTACCATGCTTTTATTTATTTATTTATTTTATTATTCAATAGTTCATACCCAAACACAGAATTGGTGTGATTGGAAAAATCCAGATTTTGATTATTTTCGTGACTCACAGATCATTTTCATGACTCCCATCTTTGGAAGCAGAAGCCAAATGTGACACCTCGCTTGGTGAATGCCCCGCTGGTGTCCGGAGGTGTAACACGTCCTCACAGGATGAGGCATCTGCTTCATTGTTGGAGCCAGATGGTGTGGATCAGAAAGGGGATTCCTCCTTAGACCTGCCCTTGCTACAGATGGCTTGTCTCGCAATAAATGATCCAGAAAATGACCAAAACAGATGAGAGGCCATCTCTTTAAGCTAATGCAATGACTTCATAAGCTAAAATCACCAATAAGCATGTTTGGGCTCCTGTTCTCATTACAAAAACAGAAATACGGACACCTTTTATCCTCTTGAACAGCGTTTGAGCCACTTTTGAAGATACAGAGCAGAAACCATGAATTCCTTTATGTAACCAGATGCATGATCTCAAAATAAAAACAAAAGCAGGTCAGTTTCCTTTAAACTGTCACTCTGTTCCCCAGAGCAGGAGCTAAAACACTTCTAGTGTTTCACGTTTTAACATTGATGTGCAAGTTCAGACTTACAAAAAGGAGAGGGACCTGCTGTAATATTCTCCAGCTATCAGTCTGTCAGCTCAAACGCTCAAATGTCAGACACAGAAGATGAAACCTCAATCCTGTGAAAAAGACATTAAAGACATTTGCAGTGGTCTCTAGCATAAATGAAAAGCCCTGGCACTCCTGTTTCAGGAAGCAGAAGTTAGCCAGAGGAACACAATAGACGGTGTTTTTCTGATATTCTAATATCTTGCATCTGATTGGATAACAGCAGCCGGACTCTACCACTGACTGCAACGTTGATGTTTTATATCCAAAATAACAAAGCCTGAAGAAATTCTACCATGATGTGGAGTTGCTAACGCTAACGGTTAGCTTCTACTAGTTGGGACGTTCTTTACTGTTTCCTGGACGCTAAAACAAAACAGCCTTGCCCAGTCGCCAGCCAAGATGGTAGACTCCATGAATTGTTCTTTTTAATCTGGCGTGCATTTGACTGGTATTTCTAATCTGAGCGTTTCCCCCGACTGTTTTCTATCGGCAGCTCGTGCAGGAAATGGATAGAAACTGTTTTCACGTATAACCTGCATGTTAAACTCAGAGTGACCAGTCACATTTTAAAGGTAACAAGTAAAAAATGTTTTTTTGGTCAGTGCGTTTACATGCGCGTCAGAAAATCGAACTATTGCCTTAAATATACTGAAGGTGGACTGGTTCTAATTGTGCTGAAACACCCAGATAATGTGAGAAACCCAACTTCATCTGCATGTAGATGGATCGGTTGAGCTGATACGGGTTACTTCTGGAAGTGACGAGACCGGAAGATAATATCACCGCCACAACGTAACATGCTTAACACCATCAAACAGCACAGTACGTACCGAGTAAGCTGTGCTGCAGCGTTGTTGTCCATTCCTTCGGCCAGTGTGCATATCATGTTTTACCTCCGCCTGCTTCACTTCCGCCAGCGTTTGTTTACTATTTGTGTTGCTATAAGCTAACCGGAAACATGCAGACACAAAAGGGTGTATGTCGCCACCTACTGTACCGGAGTGGAACAAACTTCATTAGTGAGTTTGGTTTTCTACCTACACGTAAACTAGGATAATGGCTCCCAGTTTGTGCTTCAGAGACCTAGATCGACTTAGATGCACTTGTAAAGGCACTTCATGTCATTAGAGCAGGTGCTGCAAAATGCTGATCTTCATGAGATGGAAAATAAACTTCAAAATATGTGAGAGTAAGGCACTCAAACGCCAGAATCTATTTCTTTTTATTTCTCAAATGATGTCAGGCTTGATGTTCGACATCAAAGTAGCCCCCCTAACATTTCACCCTGTCCTTTCGTGACATGGACATTAGTGCATCTGAGACGTGTCCCACGCGATTGTCGGCATCTTTCTGCTCCGTGTGGGAAGATGAGAAAGAAGCCGACAGGGCGAAGGGCGCAAGAGAGCGATGTGAAGTGGCAAATCTGTGGAGACATGAATGGCTCGCAGGTGTTTCTCTTTTTTTATTGAAGAGAAAGAGTGTTAAAAAGAGAACGTGGAGCTGTGACTTAACACTCCTCCACCTCACACCATGATTATGCATTATGGCAGCAGTGTCTGTTGAAGTGAATTGAAGTGAAGCGAGAGTCTAAAAATGTGCAAAACAAGAGGATGTTTGAAGTCCAACACAAATGTTCACATCTGCTTGTAGCTTTTATGGTCCACAGGGAGGAGAAGAAAGAATTCCTTTTACCAGGAAAAGTAATCCTGTAGGTTGATACGAAGGATTTATTACAAAATATTTAAAAGGCAAAGAAAATGATAACTTTTGATACAATGTTACAAATTTCTGTTTACTATTATTTTTATTTATTTAATGTCTCTTGCAGTTTCTAAAATCGTTCACAATATTTTAAATAATCGTGCCTTGAAAAAGATAAAATGTAATTTTTAAAAATGTTTTTATTATATACTGTATATAGTTACTAAAAGTTTTATTTTACTATTTAAATAAAAAATAAAAAATACCTTACCTTTCAGGTCAAGTTTGATTATTTGAAACTATAAATCAGAAATTTTTTAGATTGTTTTTTAAATAAAAAATTTGTGCAAGTAACACATTTTCAGTAAGCTTAAAAAATGCCGCAAGAGCACATTTTTAAATAAAAAATAACGTCTACCTAGTTGGTTTTCAGATATTACGATGAAAATATCAAATTTTGGTAAGTATTTTGTGATTTTTGTTATTTCGTAAAGGAGACATATTTGATTTTTTTTCATAAGTTGTAATAGTTATATAGTAAATGCAAAACATGTCTAATAAGTTCTTTACATAAAATTCCTCTCACATAGAGTGATTTATTCTTTACATTTTCATTACCTTCCAATAAGCCATTTTAGGGCTCTGTCACTGACCACGCCCACTTATATCCACTCAGGCTGCTATAAGCTGAGAAGCTCCACTATACAGGAGGGGCTCGGGGTAGAGAGGTGATCCTCCAGCAGCAGCTTTCTCTTGAAACGTGTGTCGGTGAGAGGTCTTTCATGCAACAAAATTTTTAAAAAGCTCCCATTTGTGATGTCACAAACGGAGGCTTTTTTAAACGGACTGTTTCAAGCACATAACTCCTAAAACCAAACACAAACAGAAAACGGATGAATGGTTTTATTTCACATTTGGAGTGTTTATAGGGGCAGTAGAGAACAACATGGCAGCACAGATGGGTGCAAAACATGAGTTTTGCATATCTTCCCTTTCAGCTAGGTAATTTTTTATTTTCAATTTTGGTACGAAGTGGAAAAAGGGAACAGGGTTTTTTTTAATTTATTTTATTCTTTAACCATCAGATTTGTCTTTCTGCTATTTTTTCAAGCCACGTCAACAGCTCAAGAAAGATTAGAACATGTTTCAAAAGTGTTTATGTTCTGCCTTTTATGCATTTTGTTCAGCTCTAATAAAGGTGCACGAAGGATGGTGGGACTTACAAAGAACATTTTCTTTCAGTGGCAATTAAACACACCAACGCAAATTAGAAAAAAGATTTTAATTGGCATCATTTTAATCATTCTTGGTTTAATTTACAGTTTATTCATTCACGTCAAAGGTAAGCACATTGTGTGGTTCTCTTAAATGTCGGTAAATGCTTTTATTCCGCTCCTCAGATCCCAGCTTTAACACAAACATGACAGAAGAGCACATTCTCACGTACGCACTTGCATATTCAGATCCTACAAATGACTCCATGACGAGTACAAAATTCTCTAAATGCCACGTACTTGAAAAAGCGCGGACAAACACTTTCCACACACATACGTACAAACAAGCTCTCCTTTTCATCCACTCACAGACTCGCTCACACTTGTGCACACACACCAGCTAGGACTTTAGATTTAACATTACAACGCAAATCTCATTTGCACCAGCTCCACCTGTGCATCCACTGTTGGTTTCCGACATGCTTTTCAGCAACATTAGCAGAATCGTTAACATGACGCTGGGGTTACCGAGTGCACGTGTCTACTGGCTGCTCAGAACCAACAACCATCCATTCGTGACAGGCTGGAGTACATCTATTTGTCTACACGAGCAAAATGCTGCAGTAAAAATCTCACGGTTTCAAAAAATAATGATAAAAAATGGCACAATAGCTTATAGAGCAAAGGCCTACAAATGCACATTAATAAATAAGGTCAATAAATAAGAGATTTTAATGTTGAAAAGTAAATAAATTAATTAAAAAAGCATAACGTCGTAGTTTAATTACCGCTTGCCTACTGTTTTGTGTTACAGTATAAAAAGTGAACCTCTTATCATTTGCACATTCACACATGTTTGTATTTTTTTTTATTTTTAATAAAATGGCGGCAGCGTTACTTTGAGACTCAAAGCACAATTTCTCCTCAGGCACCTGCCGCACTTTGGCGACTGTATGGGGTTGTTTCCGTGGTAACTGTGACTGCAGTAATGGCCGTCAGCCCTGATTGGCTGTGCGCCTCTGAAGTGGAAAAAGGGAACAGACATGGTTTAAAAAGGGGGACTTGTAGCTGATGGGGGGGGTGGGGGGGTTAACAATTGCAAATTCGAGGCGTTTCTGAGTGACTGTGCTGATTGCTGTGAGGAGGTGATATTTTTTTTTCTTCTTCTTTCTTTTTTGGAGTTTTGACATCTGGAAAAGTCTACGAAGGTAAATGCACTGGAACAAAACACCACCTCTACGGCATCTACTGTGTCTAAGTGCCGTCAAATTACTAGTCCGGGGTCTGTATTTTTCTCAGGTTGTTACAATGTGAAGGCAGGAAATGCAGACAAAAGACTAGTTCTGAGAGGGCACTCACTGCCTTCTAAGAGAAGCAGGCTTTGCATCTGTAGCTATCACAAAGCCAGGGTGATTTCTGACGTCTGGGGAAAATGGATTATTGAAAGGCCCGTGGATACAAACTCTTACCCCCTTTCTTGGGCTTTTATCACCAGCAGCTAGCACACACAGGTGTGAAAACATTCAAAGACGTCCAGGACAATGGCAACAGCTCTCATTTTTCCTTCATTATGCAAACGTAACCAGTTCTAGAGTCCGTCTGTGCCACCATACTGGGTCCAAGGCCTTTGTTGTTCATAGTTTGTCCTCAAAGCTCGTCTAAACTTTCTCAGGTGGTTTCTGTTTCTATCCATGCTACAAAAAAAGTTTTGTCCCATTTTGAAATTCCCAGAATGATCGTTGGCTGTGATCTCCATATGGTCACCACACCTGTGTGGAAGGTTGTGATAAAAGTCCAACAACAATAAAATCACACACGTGTCGATGCAACAGCGAAAAGGCCTCGTTTCTTTGTTGAATTAAAATTTTTGTCCCCATCTTGGTATTTGTCCTTGACTTGGATCTGTTGCCCTGTCTCTCTCACATCGTAGACGGCTTGGTGGAAACAAAGCCCTTTGGACAAGGCGGTCCAACCGTGTACAACGTGCCACGCTGCACCGGTCGCTAGGACAACAGGACGGCGGAGACAAGCAGCATGGCCACAGTGAGCAGAAGGCGGTCGTGCGATGGGCTGCTGCCGCTGACGCTTTTCTCCAGTTTGGGAACTTCAGGATTAAATTCATCTGCAAAAAATATCAAACAAATAAATGAAGTCAATGCATAACTCTGCAATAACGCTTATGCAAATCCTCACTATTAATAATCGAGTAATTTATCAGTCTGAAGGCAATGTGTGATACATGCTAATTGTGCTTTATCATATGCAGAAAAGAAACATCATGCAATTATCAACAAAAGCACAATTATCATCAGCAACATATGGCCCCCTCGTGGGACAGCAAATTAAAATACACAGTTGTTTCTGATGTTTTTTTTTCTCCTTTCTTTCTGCACTAATGATGTTTTTGTCCTGAAGGGATTTCAATCAAACCAAATTACTGCTTCTGTACCACTAATTTGACAAAACAGAACATTAGCTTGAGGGAAAGACAGCGGAGAAAAAAGATAGAACACATTTTATGATATTCAGTAAAAGTGGATTAGAGCATCATTATGCTCATTCTCGACCTAATGCTTCCTATTACAGCTGTAAAATTTAAAAAACACAGGGTGAAAGGAGGTAAACATGAAGTTAACGCATCACTGTGGCTGTGGAGAGGCAGACGAGCATGTATTTCTAAAAACAGGTTTAATTCAGACTACATAAATCAGTGAATGCTAACATGTATTTAAAAACATGCTAATAGTTGGTTTGATGGCGTCTCTTATAGGACATCACTTTTCATGCAAGACTTTAAAATTCTAGCTCCGCTCTAAGATCCACCTTTTTTCCCCATTTTTGTTTTTGGTGGTACACAAGTTTAACGACCAAGATGGTGGTGGTGGGAACCGCTCATCTGACTTCAAACAAGCCTTTAGGAAAGGTGATGCCACTGAGGGTTTGCCCATTATTTTAACAGCCAATGGTATCCAGAGTGACCAATCCATTTTCCATTTTTGTCCCTTTAGCCGGAGTCGGGTCATGGGGGCAGCAGCCTAAACAAAGAGTTCCACTCTCCCCAGTCACTTGGGCCATCTCTTCCGGGGGAATCCCAAGGCGTTCCGTGGCCAGCTGGGAACTGGGTCTTCCTTTTGGTCTCCTCCCAGTTGGACGTGCCCAGAAAACCTCACCAGGGAGGCATCCTCTCGAGTAACCAATCACATTTCAAAAATAACAAGTGAAAAAGACGTTCTCTCAGTGAACTTTAAATTAAGATTATGTAGAATTTGTGTTAGAATTTCAAAGAAACCCATCCAGTGGTTTGTGAGATATTTTGCAAAGTGCACGGAAAAACACACACACACACACACACACACACACTCACACACACACACACACACACACACACACCAAGTTTAATGTTTCGTATCACCACTTGTGAGAAAACAAGCCTCCTTTTGCGTGAGCAGCAAGACAAGCAGCCCTCAAAACCAACATTTCCCTCTGAATGCACAAAGAGCAAAAATATATTCATAGACTTTTGGGTTTATTCAGTTCAGCATCTGACATTTAGACAAAACATGAACTTGATGTCACACTTGAGTTTGTCTCTATATATTATGTATATCACTGCTTCTTCTGAGGCTGCATGTTACACGCGTGAGGCTGATCTCTTATACTTTCAGACTGGGCTTCAGGGTGCACACAGAAAGATTAGCGTCTACATTTAAATCTGGGTCTGTTTCAACTCCATATATTAAAATTAGTTTGTGCACATCAAACTAAATTAATAAAAAAGCAAATGAGAAGAGGCATAATAATATCGAATTTTGTTTTTAAAACGTAATGAATTGTTAGCTACAGGATAATGAAACCTGTGTTTTGTGGATTTGGAGAAGGCTTATGACCGTGTCCTCAGGGGCACCCTGTGGGGGACGCTCCAGGAGTATGGGGTGGGTGACTTTCTGTTAAGGGCTATTCAGTCCCTTTACCAGAGGAGCGTGAGTTTGGTCCGCATAGCCGGTAGTAAGTCGGACCTGTTTCCGGTGACAGTATGACTTGATGGACAGAATTTCTAGGCGCAGCCGTGGTGTGGAGTGTGTCGAGTTTGGTGGCAGGAGAATCTCGTCTCTGCTTTTTGCGGATGATGTGGTCCTCCTAGCTTCATCCAGCTCTGACCTTCAGCTCTTGTTGGGTAGGTTCGCGGCCGAGTGTGAAGCGGCTGGGATGAGGATCAGAACCTCCAAATCTGAGACCATGGTCCTCGACCGGAAAAGGGTGGCTTGCCAACTCCGGGTCGGGGGAGAGGTCCTACCTCAAGTGGAGGAGTTTAAGTATCTCGGGGTCTTGTTCACAAGTGAGGGTAGGAGGGATCGGAACATCGACAGGCGGATTGGTTCGGCGTCTGCAGTGATGCGGACGCTGAGCCGATCTGTCGTGGTGAAGAGGGAGCTGAGCCAGAAAGCCAGGCTCTCGATTTACCGGTCGATCTACGTCCCAATCCTCACCTATCGTCATGAGCTTTGGGTAATGACCGAAAGAACGAGATCGCGGATACAAGCGGCCGAAATGAGTTTCCTCTGTAGGGTGGCCGGGCTCAGCCTTACAGATAGGGTGAGGAGCTCAGACATTCGGGAGGGACTCTGAGTAGAACCGCTGCTCATCTGGATCGAAAGGAGCCAATTTAGGTGGTTTGGGCATCTGGTCAGGATGCCTCCTGGAACGCCTCCCTGGGGAGGTGTTTCGGGCATGTCCTGCCGGCAGGAGGCCCCCGGGTCGACCCAGGACACGCTGGAGAGGTTACATCTCCAATCTGGTCCGGGAACGCCTTGGAGTCCTGCCGGAGGAGCTGGTGGAGGTGGCCGGGGAGAGGACGGTCTGGAGCTCCCTAGTTGGGATGCTGCCCCCGCGACCCGGACCCGGATAAGCGGAGGAAGACGACGACGAGGATAATAATGAGCAGTTATTGATCCATTTCATTCTATTATGTAATTATTAAACAATATAATAGTAATAGAAATTAAATTGATCCTTACTACCTGTAGATCATCCACCAGAGGGCAATAGACATGTATAGGACTGTATATGGCAGGTTTATGATGAAGGTACTAATCCTAAAGTTCCATCTGGACGCTTTAAGGCCAGAAGTGATTTGACTGGTTAACCCTTTAATGCTAAATGGATCATATTTGTTCACATATTCCTAAATTCCTCAAACACCTGCTCAAGAATCCTGCCTCCTTGTGGAAGATCTCAAAACTGCAGAACACAAGTGTTACCGATAACTAAATGTTGTTGTTGTTTTTTTATATTAGCCCTCACGTATCAGGCTTCAAAGGGTGCTTAAATCCCAACGATCCCTTTTTAATTACCTTTTTTTCAATTTTTTTTAATGAACTGCCATGCCAGTAGATGCCATGAAGATGAAACAATTATTAGAATCTTTCAAAATAAAAGCCTCTCTGGTCCCTTACAGAAACTCAGGATGTGACGCTGGAAAGTTTAAACGAGTGTTTGAAATCAATGGCCTGAGCATTGGAACAAACTCTGAATCCACTTATTGTGCAACAGCTTCATGTCAAAAGGGCCTAACAGAGAATTAAAGGAGACATTTTTATTTAAAGGTTTATCTCCAGAGGAAGTACTGCATTAAAACCAAACGTCCCTCTTTGGTGGAAATCAGCACGGTGCCAGAAACATTTCATAAAGCCATGTTCATCACAAGATTTACAAATACTAGTTAATAGTGTAATATGCAAAGGATTAGTATTATAAAAGAGGCAGGAAGTGAAGTAGTTCTGTGATTTTCTTTAGGATTTCATGGTTGTAAAAGAAGAAAGAAACCATCTAAGCACTCAGTTTCTTTTTTAATATGATTCAGCAAGTTTCCCAAAACTATTTTTGGACACTTGGATGAAAAAAGTAAGACTCTAGTAAACAAAAATGTGAAAAAACACTTGGCTTTTACAATCCGAACAATTGTTCTCACCAGTTTCAGCACGTACGGAGTGTTGTTAAAGGAGGTGCTGAAACGGCATCCTGGGGAAGTTTTATTTAAAGAGCAAATATTGTTTGAAAAGGGAACATCTCAGTTCCAGCATCTGATTTGCAGTTTTTGAACATGTTTTAATATTAAACTCAGGGTTGACACGAATACTAAATCACTGCGTGGAATCCAGATTCATTTAAAAGCGTGGTTTTCGGCGTGACCTGTCAGAAAACATCCAGTTTGGGCCAAAAATATTAGGATTAGGACAAGAATAGCTCAGATCTCCATGTAGAACAAATATAGTTGAGACTTTAATACCATAGTCACCTCTGAATCCGCGTAATCCTGCTGAGTTGAAAAGAAAAAAAAAAAAAAAAAAAACAACAAATAAAATAGGAGCTCAGTGGAGTAGGTAGGCTTATCGTTTCAATGGTTACATAACATTCTGACTAAATATAGCGTTGAAATGATTTTCAAACAGGACGTTCTGTTTTTATTCGTGTCTTGGGGACAACGTGAGATTAAATGAAGTAGACGAGAGAGGCATGTGAAACACAAGAGGTGATGACGGGCAGAGATCAGCAGCTTTGGTCTGATTTGTGGCCACACAGGAATGCATTTGTCTCAGATACAACATCGACGTTCGCCCTGCAGCGCAGCATGATCATCCAGCACATTCAACACTAACGTGAAGGCTGCAGGGAGAATTCGAACCCACGCCGCCTCGGGGTAGGGTCACAGCAGGGCCGTCACATCAGAGCGTCTGAAGCATGATGCAGATTTAACGAAAACAGGAGGAGGAGAGCCCTGCATCAACAAGTCCATCCATCAGTGGCTCTCTCGCTGTTATGCATGCATGTGCACAGAGTCTTGCACAATAAAGTATTCTTCCAAATCTCTACTTTTTACAGAAAAGTTTGTCTTGGAGAAAAACTGTGGTGAGGTGGGTGGGTGGGTGGATGAATGACTCAGGCTGCAACAGGTTATCAAAGACCCACAGCGTGGCACCGAACTCCACGGTGCAAATTTGGGATACAGCAATCAATTACCGGTGCATTCTTGTCTGCAAGAGGCGCAACAACAGACGGCTCCTGAAAAACCACCCGAGGCTTTTACAGCGAGATAAGAAACATCAACCTTGGACTGTCGATAAG